AACTCCTGAGCTCAAACAATCCGCCCGCCTTGGCCTCCCAGAGAGCTAGGATTACAGGCGTGAGCCACCGTGCCTGGCCAGAAGTTTAAAATTTTTAAGCAGGTTTTTTTTTCTGGATTCCCTAATAAAAATTCCTTCTTGCAAAACACTCTTCTGAAATTGGGAGAATGTAACCTACCCTGCTCATTGTTTGCTACAAGCGTGAGAAGTTAGTGCTGTGTTGAGAAACAGGCTTCAGGATCATTTCTTAGCAAATGATGAATGAAATGCATTGCTAAACCAACCATCATCATTTATTACTTCTCTGATTGTTTCTGCAGGACTGGTTGAACTCTGAACTCACAAAGCAGTTTAAACGAGCAAGCAGAATGACCTGAGAAAGAATAGGGAATGCTGTGATATTCCTGGTACTTTCGAATCCAAGACAGCTTCCTGGAAGTTACAGAAGGGACTTACAGAATACTTACAGGGCGATGAATCTGCTGGAAGTTAGGCTTTGTAAAGCCTTCCTCCTTAATACATTTTCTTTCCTACTTATGAAAGGAAATGTATAGCATTAAAAGAGGATCAAACCAAGTCTAGCTTGTTTTCCATGCTGTTGGGTTCAATGGGAAAACTGCATTCTGAATTGATGGCAGCAGCTAGAAATGCTTAGAGATTCTGTCACAGTTGGAAAGGTGAGGCCAGGAAGACACTGCACAGAAATTTAGTTTTTGTTTTGTTTTGTATTTTTAGAGACAGAGGTTTTGCTATGTTGCCCAGGCTGGCCTCAAACTCCTGGACTCAAGGGATCCTCCTTCCTTGCCCTCCCTAGTAACTGGGACTACAGTTTTTTTCCCCAAATGTCATCAATAATATATCATGAATAAAAACAATTAGAAGTGGTTAAAGCCAGGATCTACTCTTAGATATTTTAAAAATTCACATAGTCATTTCTTATTCTGAAGATTTGAAGTCTTATGTTCTAGTATGTTCAAATTTAATAACGGAATTTAAATAGTACCAGTTAATAACAGAGTTTACACACTGGTTGTAAAATAACATCTGCTATTTCCTGGGGAAGAAAATAATGTTTAAGGCAAAGATGTTGGATATTAGTCACGGTGACTTGTCCAAATGCCAGCCTAATTTTCTACAGCTTAGAAACAGCCTTGAGGGATCCTGTTAGCTTCTCTAGGCCTCTGATCCCACCCACACAAATCTCCCACCACCTCTCTTCATGCCTTACTTCCAGAGATCTCCCTACGAGAGGTTGAGCACTGTGCATTCCTAAATGGCTGTCTATTAAAACTAAATTTCTCCTGTAGTCCCAGTTACTAGGGAGGGCAAGGAAGGAGGATCCCTTGAGTCCAGGAGTTTGAGGCCAGCCTGGGCAACATAGCAAAACCTCTGTCTCTAAAAATACAAAACAAAACAAAAACTAAATTTCTGTGCAGTGTCTTCCTGGCCTCACCTTTCCAACTGTGACAGAATCTCTAAGCATTTCTAGCTGCTGCCATCAATTCAGAATGCAGTTTTCCCATTGAACCCAACAGCATGGAAAACAAGCTAGACTTGGTTTGATCCTCTTTTAATGCTATACATTTCCTTTCATAAGTAGGAAAGAAAATGTATTAAGGAGGAAGGCTTTACAAAGCCTAACTTCCAGCAGATTCATCGCCCTGTAAGTATTCTGTAAGTCCCTTCTGTAACTTCCAGGAAGCTGTCTTGGATTCGAAAGTACCAGGAATATCACAGCATTCCCTATTCTTTCTCAGGTCAGCTCTGGGCATGAGCAGCTTGTCTTTGTTTTAATATTTTGTTCCCAGGGGCTAAGAACATTCTAGTGCCAACTCCACAGGGCTGAGAAAAGAGTACTTTTGAGACTGCAAAATGTGTCAACTTGCTGCAAACCTAACCCATCCGTACCAGAAAAAAAAAAAAAAAAAAAGATTTCCTAAAAAGCAAAAGATAAATGGAGATGCTTTTTTTTTAAATTTCAAATCCACATTTACTGCATTTCAAATAGAGGTGTTAAATGCATTAATTTGATTCTTTTAGGCTGTTATAGTCCAGATGACAAGGGAAGTCAGTATTATACTTCTGAGCCTTGTCATTTTTAAAGCACATGGAAATTTTAAAATAGAATGTTCTTGTCAACAGGGAGCACAGCAGCATTTCTTTTCTTATTGAAATCCATCTAGAAGGGAAAATCTGGAAGGCTCCTTACCCATGCATTTATCATCGGTGTTTACCACCAACCAGCGTGAAAAGGAAATCGTTGGGCAAATTCTCAGCCAAGTTGGAGCCTCAGTGGGACTTTTTAAAAAGAGATCGCTGAGCTTGGGGATTCCTAAGGACCCGTTTCATTTCTGTGCAGATGTCCAGCTATTTTTAGTGCCATCGAGGGAACAGTATGAGTCGCACAGAGACATGCGAAAGGACTAACTCTAACGCCAGCAGTTTAGAAGGATAAGAACAAAACGTCGTGCATTTTGTCTGTGTGTTTGCCCTGCAGGGGAGGAATTCCTGGTCAAACAAACCTAATTTTAGTTACGATGCTGGCAGAATTTTGTCTGAAGGCCTTGGTGTGATTGTTAAACCAGACCACAGTAAAGTATAAAATGGCTGAATATACAGCCACTCCAAGGGCAGAAATGAAAGTCCACGCTGCCTCTGAGCCCTCAGCGCCTCCCTGGCCTCTTCCCTTCCCTCCACAAGGGTGAAAAGAACCATCGAGAAAGTCTCCCGTTTTCCTCAAGCTTCCTGAAGAAACAGAGTCATCATGGAAGACAAATTCAAACACAGTGTGTTCAATACTTCCTGTTGCTCAGGCGCCGTGTGGAGTCTCTTTCTGCACCTGAGTGAGCAGCACACCCCATTTCTCGTCAGTGGCCACCCCAAAGAACAGCCCGATCCACTCAGGGGAGTCACCAGCACCCGGGGAGAGATGCACTTACCCCCAGTCGGCTCTGGTCACGGCCCAGGGCCCGCCACGGCTGGCGGGATGGCGCCTCCGCTCTCCTCATTTCCGCGGCTGCGCCAGGGCAGCCTCGGGCCAGAGCCCTGAGCTTCTGGGGCTTTTAGGCCTTTCCCCTCTCCCTTTATGGAATCCAGGATTTAAAAGTAAACAAGTCTTTCTCTTTCTGATAAGTCACATTAAATTATCGATCTGGTGGGGAGGGAGGGCATGACCCGAGGCCAGTAAGTCAGCGTCACCTTTGGTCGAACACACTGGAGCGGTGGCTCTGCTGCGCGGGGGTGCGCGGCCCGCAGGCGGCCACGGAGGCCCCTGTGGACGCATGGTCTCCCTCAGAAACCCACGTTTAAACTTGTTTGACTCTTTCCTCACGGAAGACCACAGTTTACTACATTGTCACCTCAGAGTTCTAGAGCCAGAGGAGTCATCTGGTCATAGGAACCTATGACATTAAATATATCCTTGGGGCATCCTACTCTGAGCTCTTGACCAATGTTTGGAAGCCAATCTCATTCTCCTCTCGAACTGGTCATTTCTGACGTAATCGATTCATCTGTTCACTCCAACGATTATTTATTAAGCACCTGTTTATCTGCGGAGCTGTGGTAGGGGGATGGGGAGCAAAGAAAACAGAGCTCCCAATCTGGCAGTGAGGACGGAGCCGCCATTAGAGGCTGCCCCTGGTCCTGAATGGATTCTGTTGTCGGCTATTATTTTTAACGTCTCTGATCATTTCTTTTCCCCCTCAGCCGCTGTTGTCATTTTGCTTTCTTAAGCTTTAACGGGAAACTATTTGTTACCCTCTAGTAACGATCTGAAGTGAGGTCTGGTCATTCCAGTCAGAGCTGATGACCCGAGGAGATGGGCAGCCTTCACTTAACTAGCAGGTCTTGTCGTCCTACCCCACACTTTCTCTTGGTTGTCATCAGTCTTTTCAGGTGAAAATGAAAAGCAAAATATACTGTGACTTTTTCTTTTTCTTGCCTATGAACTGATCTCAACAAGTGAGCCCGAAGAGTTGCCACGGCTGTTTGGTCCTGCTACTGCTCCCTGGGTTCCTGAGGGAGAGTAAGTTCTCCCTTGGTTTCCTCTGACTGACTGAGGAAATCCTGCACCCTGGCTCCTGGAAAAGTCCAGGGTCTTCCATGAGGGCTGAGGGACTGGCCAACACACTCATATGGTAAAAGCCTGAGATGGAAAAACATACTAAGAACCTTCTGGAAATTGCCAAACCCCTGTACTCTCCAACTTTAGTCAATGGATATGGCATCAAAGTGATTTTTTTTTAAAGGTAATATTACAGGTGCTGCATTGTTGGCACTGCCTGGGCTAACTTGCTTTGTACTTTCTAAGTTTCTTCTCTTGGTTGTGGCAATCCTATTTCGTTTCAGAATCATTGTTGGTTTTTCTCTTTTAAAGTGAAACAGATTCCTCAGGGTTCCCCAGGTAAACATTCTTTCAAAGGCAGGACAAAATCTCTCCCACTCCCCTGGCTCAGCCCCCATCATCCAAGTCACTTCCATCAGCTTCTCTTGGTCTGTGAAAGTTGGTGACAGTTTTCCCTTCATTTAAAAAATGATGAAGACAAATGTTCAACTTTCAGACTATTTTTCTTTAAATTACCAGCCATGGTATTTGCAAGGATTCTGAATTTCAGAGACGGAATGAATCTTTCAAACTTCTTCTGGCAAGTCACAGAACTCTACTTCAGCTGCCTGTAAAACTGACTTTTTATTTTTTAAGAAATAAAGAAGGGGGCGTGCCTTGTTTTAAAGAGAAGACAGATTTGAATCCTACAAGCTTGAAGTTCAGCATGGAATGTCTAATTCCCTAATGTTTACATTCAGATACAGGCTGCAAAATTGGGCTTCTCCAACGGTGAAAAACAAAATCAGGTAACTTTCCATTGGTTGCAGCTGGAAGCAGGCGCCACCCGCTGTGGGTGATTAGTTCCAGGGTTTTCTCATCTTCCTTCCCTGAGCTGCAGCCTTTTTGAAATGAAAAAAAAAAAAAAAGAGTGATCAGTTCCACTGAAGAATGACTTTTGTCATGAGGGATACTGAAATTTGGACTTGGAACCCTGGGTCTCATTCAAGATTCTTTGCTATTTGGATTTTTGCCTTTGGATAAGATACTTCATATTTCTGAGACTTTAGTTTCTTCCCTGTGTAGCAAAGCTGAGAATACTTACTTGTCATTTGCTCTGAAACCTCCAGTGAAACACGAGATGACTTAGGCTTTAATAATGAATAGAGAAAAACAAAGTTGGATGTAGAGAAATTATTATACAAAAGGCATGGGCTAGACTGTTCCAAGTGAACACAAGAATGTGCAAGGCGAGTGCGGGCCTCTGCTGGAGTGCGGGTGGGGACCCTGGGAACAGAACTGTGTAGCTGCAAAACTCTAGGCCTCCTTTCCGAAGAAAGAGAAGGGAGAGGAACCCTGTGAATAGGGGGTCCTTCATGCAAGGAGAACCGACAGCCAGGCCAAATGTTGAGTCCCAGGCCACAGATCTTCAGGAAAGAGGGGCCAATCCCCGTTCTTCCTCTAACGCTTTGTGGCTTTAAAAGAAATTCGAGCGCATAAGTTTTGATCAATTAGTACCAATTTAATGGTGAGTGCAAATCATGGGCACATGTTTCTCTTATGCGTTGGAGCTTGTGCGCCCATCTCTCTGAGTGTGCTTCTCATAGTCCTCACTTTGATGGAGAATTCCCTAAGGAAACACTGCCCCATCTTTTGGTGTAGGTTGTTTTCTTCCCCTTGTGTCCTTGTCCCCGGTCCCCCTTAGCTTTCCCCCCTTGTCTTGCACAGGGAGGCATTTATAGCATCCCCCTCCAACCTGGGTCCCCGCACCCCAGGTCTGTCCACTAGCACCTTCCACCAAAGCGTTTTCTACTCTCATCATTTCCTCTTCAATGTCCCCTACCTGGCACACTTAGCTATCGATAGAATCAACCCAAGATTTACCCTGAATTAAAACAGTGTCCAGTAGGAAGAATTCTTTAAACATCAAGTTAATTTATTTGCTTTCTGTCCTGGGAGCAGCTGCTTCCTGTTTCATTTGGTTTTTGAGTCGGGCAGAGCATGGAATCAGAATGTGGTTTGTCCTCTCTTGCACGGCCACAGATTCCTCTGGAATTTACCAAGCCAGATGCCAAACTAGTGCTTTGATTGGTGGTCTTAATGACATACCTGATTCCTGAGAGAATGGCATGCTGTCCCCTTTGTCCCTCTTCTACTCTTGACCCACCTGGATTTCTGTGTCACCCCTTAAGGTCCAAATGTCAGGCCAGAGGATTAGTGTGGTTAAGACACAATTCCAGTCCAGCAGTGTTTACACTGACAAGACACAGACACTGCTGAGCGATCACATCAGACAAGGTCACCAGAAAAATCCCAGCCACTCTTAGGAACGCTTCAGCGGAAGGCGCTTTACACACAGAAGGCCAAAGATAATTGAGGAAGTCATTTTCTCCAAAAGCTTGAGGAAAAGCATCCAAATAGATTCTTGTGTTTTAAGAGCAGGATTTTAATTAGACCTGGATATCTGAATTTAAGGGATGTCATCTTCAATCTAGGTTGTGTAAAAGGCGTTAAAAAATAACCAATAACCCAGGCAAGAGCTTGGAACCAGGAAAAAAATCAATTGAATTAACCTCAAGTATATTGGTTATCTTGGCTGAATTTGTGAGTATGGGGAAATTCTGGCTTGGACAGCCAAAAGGAGGATCAACTGTCAGCATTTTGTTAAAGCTGTGATGTCTCACAGGGGCTGGGGGGCTGTAGACACTAGGCTGAATCTTTAGACAGCCTGGGGCCATTGTCTAGCACTTTAAAAATTGATAAAAATACATATAATTTTGGGGCCAGGAAATGCATTATTAAGCAGGACACAAAGCCTAAAGTGAAGAATTTCTGAATATTAACTGATTGAAATAAGATCAAAAGAGAAAAACACACACACCAAAAAAACCCAGGGAAAAATACTAGCAATACAGAACACATCGCACTGAATAATTCAAGATGAAAATGAGGAAAGGATATGAACATGGAGTTTACAGAAAAATAAACACATGAAAACATGGTTAACTTCACTTACAATTATAAAAACGTAGATGAGATATCAATTCTCAGTGAGCGGGTAAGTGAAAATTTATAGCTTGTCAATATCCAGTACCGGCCACGCCATGGGCCGTCTGCCGCTCTCAAACACTGTTGCCAGAAACGGTAATGGTCTACTTTTTAAAGGACAATTTGACAATATTTAGCAGAATTGGAAATGTATATCCCTCTTGACCCAGTAATTCCATTACTGATAATTTATAGATATATTCACAAAAGTACACTAAGACTTGTACATAAAAATATTCATTATAGCATTGTTTGTAAGAAGAAAAAACTAAAACTAAATGTTTATATGGCTGACTGGTTCAGTAAGTGTAATAATACAGCTATATAATGAAATATTATGCAGACATTTAAATAGAAAAAGAAAAATACCAGGAATTGGGGTTAAGAATAATGATTAACCCCATGGCTTCCAAGTCTAAAATATATTAGAATACATTTGGTATAAATAAAAAGGACATGAATACACACTTCTGTGCATGTATTTATTTGGTGGTAATAGCATACTTTTTCTTTTTTTCCTTGAAGGATACACAGGGCACAATTGATGGTAGTTCCTTTGGAGAGTGGGCTGGTGGTTTGGAGGCAGGGGTGGGAGGCTTGAGTCTGGGATTTTACCTTGCTCTTCTTTAACTGCTTGGAAGTATGGTCAGAAACGGAGCTCTGTGCCTCTGATCTCAGCAACAGAGGCTGGAAGACTTTGCCTCTCATCCCAAAGCTGAGGACAAGTGCAGAAAGACATGAAAGGACTAAAATTTCTGCACAAAGCCTGGCTGGCTCGATGTTAAAGGTCACGGTGAGGCTGTAAGTACCAACAAAAGTGATCTCCACTTGGAGGCAGAGGGCTTTGCCACTCTGCAGTGCAGAGGCCAGATAGGGTTGGCGTTAGGGGACCTTTAACTTGACCGTGGAAGGGAGTTGGATCAGCTCAGAGTGCTGCAGTGTAGGTGCC